AAAAAGAAATGGAGTTTTCTTGTTTCAAATTTTATTCTCCGCGGGGTGCATCTAACTGATTATTGATTATTTATATGTGTGACAAGACAGTTTATCATTTTAACATTATTAATAAAAATAAATTATATAAATTCGTAATTACACGAAATTTTTTGCAATTGTAATAAAATTTTTTAAAATCAAATTAACACTTCAAAGGCTTGCAAATAATCATTTATTATCCTTACTACTCTTTGTTGATGATGTCTGACTTCGATTCGGTACCACTGACTGATAAATGAAATGTAGAAGGATTGTTGCTTGGGAAAAATAAAATGATAGAAGTAGTACTGTACCATACACAGTAGATGTATTATAGTAGCTGATACTATTTAATATCACTCATATCAATATCAATTTAAAGCCTAATGAAAAAGTTAATTAATAACTTCCTGTAAATGCATCCTCTATTTTGTACATTTGTGTAAAATGCTTTTATTATTAACCTTTAATATCGGTATCTATTCTGTGATACTGTAACCTTTAACATTAAAATTTATAATAAATTGATTGTTCTAGCCTAATGATATGGTTCTACGGTAATCCTATTAAAATATCTATCATACCTTGACAAAAGCAACAAGATAAGAGTATGCCGAGGAGAGATAATCATAGCTTGGTGATCGAGCGGTTGTTGCATCGGAAGTTCGTGCACAGCACATTGAAGCACTCTGAAAAAAAAAAAGAAAAAACAAAAAGATGCAATAATTCAATGAGATTCAAAAAATGAATTTATATGATTGATACTAAATTTAGAAATAAACTCCTAAAATAAATTACGAGAAAGATAGTATTTGAATTGATGGATTCAATTGCAACAACAATGCGACTAGCATATTAATTTGATGATGGAATTTTTTTCAAAAGATTTCAAATTTTATCAAAAATTTCCAAAAACATACTCTACTCTCCATGGATTGCATTGAATAATCACTTGATGGTAAATAATCATTCAAATCTTCTGCCTACAATACATTCCTATTCATTCATATTTCAAATTGTGAATTCAACATTCTCAAATTTAATTCTTATGAGATTATTAGATTAAAATTAGTTATATTGTCATCGTTAAAATTTTATAAAAATATCATGAAAATTTTCATATGAACTTCTTATTTATACAGTAAAAATATGCAAATGCGCATAAGATAAAAATATGTAAATATGCTATATATATATTATATGATTAATGTTCCGAGCATTCTATCAAATTTCCACTTTATTTGAAATTTTTATTTTTGATAATCCTTTTTTTGAAATTTTATTTTTTTTTTGAAATTGCAAAAAAAGTGTATAGAAATGAAATTTTGAATAATTATTCTATCCACTCTAATTACTGAATACATTTTCTTGATCTCTTTTTGCTACAAATAAATTTTTATGTACAAAGTAGTAGGTTTAGGTTAAATAAATAGCTTTTGATAAATCTTACCAAAATATTTTCCACTCACGTAAAACTTTTACATTACGTAATTAGTAATAGAAGAACATACTCGTAAAAGGTCATCAAAACGCCAACGCCTGCTACCAACCGTAAATGGTGTTATTGCATTTTGCTGAAGACGAGCAGCTTGAATGTGTAGATCATGATAAATTGGTGCTAATTCGATATGTAATCTGGGATATAGATCACGTCGTGATAACTTCATTGTCAACTCGATATCATCCCGAGGACTGGCAAAAAAATTCTCGACCACTTCATTTATGCACTACAATTTAATGCATAGTAATGATCGTCACAAAGATATTTTAAAATAGATAGAAGTCGTGAATTAGTTTGTAAGTTACATAACAACAACTAAGTTATTAGTGTAGTGGTCAGCCGCTAATGGTCAGCTATTCGTCAAAATAGCTTTCGCTTAATGTAATTTATATCTCTCGATGATGCTGCTATTGTTGGTAGCAATCAAAAAATAAATTTGAATTCAAATTTGAATGATATATCTCCGACATACAGTAGATTTTTAGTTATTTTTCAATTTTTGATCTCCTATTATTTTCTTTTTCTATAAACTCTCAACTAACTACGAATTATCTATCTTAAATTAAAGTAAGCTTTCGTTCAAGATTCGAATTTCTGTCAAAAATTGAATATTTTATTTGTTTAACTTCCCTTTTCAAGCATAACAATTTACACAATTAATTTCAAGCCTCATAGGAACTTTATTCTTTTATACCTTCTTGGTGAGGATAGTTTCGTATAGTCCCCATAATGGAGTAGCCGGAATTGCTTTCTGATTCTCGAGTGGTCCTTTCTGTCCGGTCATTCGGCGATTTAGCTCACTCTCACCAATAACCCGCATCTTTGCTATGCTTGAATCATCATCCAACAACTGCTCCATCACCGCTTTATGCAATTTCTTATCGGTATTTTGTACCTCCAAATTAATTTTAGTGAAATTTGTCATATTTTTATAAAATTTTAATGATAACAATGCAACTATGATCTAATAACCTCATAAAAATTTAAAACTTTTGGAATAAATTTTGAACATGCAACAAAATTTGTTGCTATTAGATCATAGTTGTATTGTTATCGTTAAAATTTTATAAAAATATGAAAAATTTCACAATATCATATAAAATATGAAAAATTTGAATTTCTTATTTATGTAGTAAAAATATGTAAATGCGCATAAGATAAAAATATGTAAATATGCTATATATATTATATGATTAATGTTCCGAGCATTCTATTAAATTTCCACTTTATTTGAAATTTTTATTTTTGATAATTTTAGAATCAATAAATTATTTCCTAAGATTAGGCCTACATATTTGCCGTTAATTTTAGCCTTTTCCAATGATTCATTATTCATTGATTCGATGGAATCGTATGAAACAGTTCCAGAACTTAGCGAATATGTTCCGATCACATCGGCATCATAAATTTGCATATCGTTTATCTTCGTTATCATTACATTATTTTTACTGATCCCCTTTTCTGGCACTGTCAATTTCTCTTTCTTCGTTGCTATTTGTGGTGCTCGCTCTGTTTTTGTTGCTACACTTGATTTTTCCTGCAAAAACAACTTAAACTAAACTTATTGGATCATCTAAATTTACAAGCCTGAAGTTGACAGTAATATCACTGCAAATTTTCAATCATAAAATAATAAACCTAATAGTGACTTTTTCATAATTAATCATAAAAATAAACATTTTAAAATTATTGAAAAGAAAAATTAATAATTGTTGAAGCTATCATACTATGTAATATGAAAAAAAATTTTTTTTCATATTCAAAATAAAACTGAATTACTCATTCAAATGAAATTTTAAAATTCATCAATAACTTGACGACAATAATTTTAGCAAAGAAAAAATTAAAATGTTTCCAGAAATTATTCCCATTTACAGAATAAAAAAAGTGCATTTAGCACAGGTATCAAATGTTTAGAAATAATTACAATTAGTTTAAAATTTTATAAACAAAATTGATTTCAATTCAATGTTGCTTTAAAAATTAAAGGAATTTATGATTGAATCAAGTATAACCATAATTTAAAAAACACTAGAAATTATGTGTTTTCGATGGCCATTTTCAAGTATAATTAAATATCATAAAAATTTCAAAAATGTAATCAATTAATTCGCAATTACAAAAAAAACTTACAGGTGGAATATTGTGTGATGTTGGAACAGTTACATTTTCAAACGATTCCGGCGTAGCATATAATTCCGTTCGCATAGCAGAAGTTAAATTTGCAGTTGGCTTTTCTGGTACCAATACGGTGATGGCATTTTTCTTCTTTCTCGACTTAGGCATATATAAATTGTTTCGTATTTTTCTTCTGTACAAAGAGGAAAAAAGAAACACTTTAGAGCAAAATATTTCCAATTGAGTAAGCAATATTTGAAATGAATTTACCTTCAACAGAAAATATGAAATAATGAAATACAACAAATAATTGATTTTGCATGCTTTTATAATTTCTCATTTCATGCATGCATAACAGATATTTGCATAATTTGCTCGTTTCAGGCAAAATTCTTTTTTTTTTTTTAACAATTTCACAGATATTTTGCTCATTATAATATGTATCGAAGATAACTTTGTGTCTATCTTCTTTTTTTTTAAAATTATAAACCAAAGATTTGCCGCTATTTTATTCAATAACATAAAAGCTATAAAAATTGTTTGTATTGCTTATTCCGAAAGTATTTTAGCTGTGAAAAAAATTTTTTTCATCACTTTAACATTTGATATTATTGGCAATCAATTTTTGCCTTAGATGTAATATCTAAATTATTCATTGATTTTAATGATTGATTCAAGTCGTTGCATTAACATTTTTAAAATTTTTCATCAAATTTTTTAAGAAAAAAAAAAAGGAAAGCAAAAAAAGAGAAAAAAGCTCTGTATAGAGCTTTTAGCTTCATATTTATTGTATAACGAATTATTTGATAAATTTAAAATTTCCAAAACTTTTTAATTATATGTTATTTGTCATAGAAACATTTTGAAATATTACATTATTCTTTTTTATTGATAAAAAAGTATACTATTAAAACTCGAGATATGCAGCAATATGAATGAGATATTTCGATAAGTACTTGAATTGATGGATCCAAGTGCAGTAATTGCAATTAGTATATTGATTTCATGAAGAAATTTTTTTCAAAAGATTTCAAATTTTGTCAAAAATTTCTAAAAACATATTTTGCTCTCTATGGATTGCATTGAATAATCAATGCAAAAACCTAATTTTATTTAAGATAGATAATTCATAGTTAGCTGAGAGTTTATAGAAAAAGAAAATAATAGGAAATCGAAAACTGAAAAATAATTAAAAATCTGATATATGTTAGAGGTATGTCATCCAAATTTGAATAACCTTTAACTTTCTTTCAATTAATAATAATCGATATATATTCCAGAAGTAATACTGAACGTTTTTTTTTTTTTTAAAGAGGAACATTTTCCTGGGCAAATTGTCTCATTGATTGAATTTTAATTGTTAAAATTTTGATCCAATAAATATCATCAATTTCTTTTCAAATTAATCTAATGAATTTTACAACTGATGAAAAGCAATTTACGAATTTAATTATTGTCATTTGATAATTTAATTATTATCAATCGCTATCATTTGATTTCATCCAGTAATAATTTCTGTAATTTCTGTAAATATTTTGTGATAATATTTATAGCAATAGTGTATTTCTTATTTTTTGCTATTATAACTATCATTATCGTTGAAATTAACAAACATTATTAAAATCATTTCAAATATTATTCAAGAAAACAAAAAAAAAAACTTTTATATAAATAAAATATGAATTAATAAAATGACTTCAAATAATAATATTACAATATATTCATCATTATCTCATAAAATTACCATTACATTTAAATGATAATCATTGATAAATGATATCGTTATTTCGATAGTATGATAATGAATTACGGTAAGATATGAAGGAAAGAAAGAGAGAAAAAGAGATAAAAAAGAGAGAAAGAAAGACAAAGAGAGAGAGAGAGAGAAAAAGAGAGGAGAATAGAAAGAGTTGATGTTAACTTTTTCTTTTCTTCTATTTGTTTTAAAAAAAATTTTTCCCTTTCTATCCCTATTCTCTTCCTCTCCTATATATTATCATCTATCCTCTAACATCACTTACACTCTATCTCTATTACAATATTACTAAACTAAAACTTCCTCTTTCACCATCTTCAAAACTCTCCATTTTTTTTCAATTTATTTTTCACTTGCACGAATTGAAAATGCTTTCATCTTCCTTTTTCTCGATGAAATAAACACATTCACACATACAATGAGGCAAATAAATTTCGTTATTTCTAAAATTAAAAATTATCGATAACCATCGAAATTCTCCTCAAATTACAATTTGTTGCTCTTTTTTTTTTTCATTTTGATTCCTTTAT